ATCTCCTTCTTCATCCCGAAATTTCACCTCCCTGCCCACATTGAGAAATGTCAGACAATGTTCTCATTTAACTTCAAGCGTGGTGTTGGTCAAACGGATGGAGAAGCTCCAGAGCGCGGGTGGGCGAACATCAATCCTGTCGCATCCAGTACGAAGGAAATGGGACCCGGTGCAAGACATGATACATTAGACGATTTTTTTGGAGATTGGAACTGGAAGAAAGTTGTGAGTCTTGGTGCGTATATATGTTTTATCGTGGTGCAAGTCTCATCTGCTTGACTATGTACTACAATGCTATGTAAAATGAAGGAGGCCTTACCTGAGTGCGCGAATCAGCAAGCTGCACTTGACGACTTGGAAGAAGGACTGAAGGATGAGTACGGTGATGTTCTGAATCAATGGAGGTCGCAGGTGAAAGCCTGGGAGGATGACCAGTCTCAGTCCAACCCTTTTGAGTGAAACACAGACGGTTCATTTGCTCATTATTCGAAGTGATGCATGTGATGCTAAGTGACTCATTTGTCATAATCACAGTCGTTATGTTGGCTTCTGTTTGGTTAGCACTCACAAAGGAAGAGGAAATAGATATTCGGAGTGGAGCTTGCCTTGCCTTGCACGAGGATTGTTCCCCCAGTGTGTTGATTAGCTCGGGACTGGAGCTCAAGGAGCAACAGTTTGTTTTCTCAATTCCTCGCATGTGACATCACTAAACTTCTCCCAGACGACGCTTGAGAGCTGACAAAAGCGGGCATGGTATACACATCACCGATAATCAACAAGGGAAGTTGCTCGAGCGGAGCAATGCATTACAACGTAGGATTGACGCCTGGTCAAAAATACAAGAGCTATATATGCCGAACATTGCTGCCATGCATCTCTTGGACAAATCAACCTCCACCAATGCCAACTCTATCCCTACTGCAGAAAATTTCAAACTGTGGCTACCATCTCAGATTGGCAGGTTGGCGCCTTGTGATGAACGGCTTCAGAGGATGGAATGGAGATTGAGATATGCTCAAGGCCACAATACCCTCCGCTCCTTACGCTCCAACCTCTGCGCACAGACTGCTGTCCTCAGGTACAAGGACCGGAACCTTTGAGGACAAGGAGCCAATACTCGAGCACGCAATACGCTGAATATCATCAATGCGAGGATTGATGCTGCTGCTAGCAGATACGAAGGTGCACACAAGGCTCTCGTGATTCTCGGTGGACTCCTGAATGAGTCGGGCTGGCAGTCGTCGCTGCGTCCTCTAAATCATCAGGATATTCGCTCTATGTCTGACCTTCTGTGGGGTGAATCGGAGGGCAGACGAAAATTGTCGTGGATATGGAATATGCGTGGCGCTGCGGGCAGTGAAAAGGATGATAACAGTGCTTTAGAAGGTAAGCGTGATACCACAAAATGCTTCTCTTACTGACAGTGCAACAGATATGAGAATTGAGTGGTGTAAGGCAAGGGCACGTGCAATGTGCTGGGGGGAAGAAGTAGAGCTGCTGCAAGAAGAAATGCAGCGTATATTATCATTTCTGAGGTGGGAAGCAGGGGGCTGGGACAAAAGGCGAGAGGATGCTATACCAGCCAATGCAGAACACAAAGATGGCTGTGTGGCATACACAAAACGTCAGGCTGACTTACGCCGAAATCTCACGTCATCATTTGAAGCTCGTTGGGCAGAGACACTGGCCCTTGTAAACATAGATTGATTAATGATACAACACACTATTGAACATGACACGTCATAATATGAACGGAATGAATCAGGGCGGGAGGGGATCAACCAGCAATGCGCCATATTGAAGGGCGGGAGGATGTATGAGCCTAGAAAACGCGATGCATCAGTGAGAAGGATGCATCAAAGGGCGGGAGGGATGCATGAACCTATAAAATGCGAAGCATCAGTGAGAAGGATGCATCAAAGGGCAGGAGGGATGCATTAGCCTAGAAAATGCGATGCATCAGTGAGAAAGATGCATCAAAGGGCGAGAGGGATGCATTAACCTAGAAAACGCGAAGCATCAGTGAGAAGGATGCATCAAATGGGAGGAGGGATGCATTAATCTAGAAAACGCGATGCATCAATGAGAAGGATGCATTAGCCTAGAAACATAGGGGAGGAAAGAGCGCTACAACTGTAGGGAAAATGCATCACAGGTACACTACAATCACAGCAAATAATGCATTACAATGACATGAACCTGTGTGCTGGGTTACGTTGTTGGCACTTAAAAAGGAGCAAGAGTTGCAGGAGAGTTTCAGGGAGCTAGAAAAAGCTTGGCGTGAGCTCAATGAAACAAAGAAGGTGTTAGGGATTGAAAGGAATTAGCGGCTGGATGAAGTTGAGAGGGTTTGGGGGATCGAAAGGAATCGGCAGGAGCATATATAGTCAGGAGGTGTCATTGACAAGAGGAACACTGAGCTTGATATATGTATTCTCAAGAACCTGCAGGAACATAGTAGGCCACAGGCAGGGAATTTGAACGAGAAATTTGCTCATGGAACCACAAAAAACGAGCCGTGCCACTAAGTTGCTGTATGTATGTCATTGGATTCAACGTAAAGTGTCAACAAAATGGAGATGGTGGGCATTACCTGCCAGTCGAGGCACAGGGACAATAGACTGAGGCCCTCATTCCATTGGAACCACCAAACACGTGAGACACAGCAGCATTGTTAGGAACGGCGAGGCAGAATATTGAGATACCGGTGAGCAGGGGGAATATCCATTCTGGAAAAAGCTCCCATATAAAGATTCTGAGTTTAAGATGATTGAAAATTAAAGATTAAATTATGATTTATCAATCAAGTTTAAATGCACGCAGTAAAGACTAAATAGAACACCTTGAGCTTTTGGCGTGCTGCAATACCATTGTGATAGAAAGCGTCGAGCATGGAGAGCAATGGGAGCACGCTAGGATACAACATTTTCGACGGATAGAGGAGGATCCTTGAGCCAAAGTGTCATGAGCTGAGATTCTAAGTATAACTACTGTCAGAAGCAAAAATACCTTGCATCAGACCGCCGATCCCATAGCTGTGGTTTGCGGCTTTAGCGATGGGTGGAGTAAGGAATACGCCAGCACAACGCACCCGAGCAGTTGAGAAGAGAACAACAAAAATATTGATGAAACCGCATTCGGCGTGATGTTATAATACAAACTGATAACTCATCAGTCACTACTGACAGAAAATTTGGACTGCGAACCCACCATTGGACAGCAAGAACTTCTGTAGCCAATGCAGAGTTCGCGGCTGCACTGGACATGATGATAATGAACACATTCTCCTTCTTATTGAAGGGTCCCTGATATTCATAAATATGCATGAACTTCAGGGTCAGGGGCTATGCGGAAGACTCGGACGTACTGGATTCAGGTATCGGAGCAGTCCGTAGTGTGGAATGGATGTATCCATTGCAAGGCCAATCCCATAGGATATGATGCCAAGGAACATTAGAGATACACTGACAGTTTGCTGGAGTGTCCACATGAATGAGCCCTCCGACTTGATGTTCGATAAAGAACTCTCACAGGTTTAAAGTAATAGATTTGAGCTAGGGGTGCAAGTGAGTAGGAGCCTCGACTGAAAGATCTCGACTGCTTTACCGAGGGATCCATTAAAGGCGGAAAGGCCAAGGCCGATGAAGAAAGCCCGAAAGGTCCAGGGGTTCAGACTAGGATCGTCGTCCACGGAAATGACGTGAGTTGCAATATCTCGCTCGTTCTGAAGAACAGCAATGTCATCAGTGTCTTCTCCAGTAGAGGTCTCGATATCCCCATTGATGCAGTAAGATTTCGATTTCTCCTTCACGTCCATGGATTTCTCGTCATTGAGACTAGAAATTCTTTCCATAGCAGCCATGACTAGAGGGAGGGTATGATGTGCCAAGGCAGATCAAGGTAGAATAGCTGATATTTATCGATATGCACCAAGCATGCCTCAAACATAGTGAGGAACAGACCAATGGGCCGAGAGAGAACTGAGAAAGAACCAAAAGATAGATAGATAGATGTCCTATTCTTGAGATGTAACAGGCACAGAAACTTGAAATGATACATGCCTGTGGCTGCGGTAGATGAACATGTCGTGGTCTACGAAACTAAGCTGTCGAGTCAGAGGTGCTTCATTAGACCAGAGGTAAGAAATGCACCAATTGATGTAATAAAACCTCCAGTCAGACTTATCCTGAGCACATTGGGAAACGCTGCTGCCATCCAAACGTCGCAAGCCTTGAGCAAATTGCGGGATGAGATGGCAACATCTAAGGACGTCATCAGGGCTTACAAACCCAAACGTGTCCGGTTCTGCCATGGGAGGGAAGTAAACACAATCTAAAGATGTGCAATGGCTCGAGCCTTCATCGATATCTACGTATTGATACCAGCGCACCCATAGGAAGTCAATTTGTTGCGAGTGATAGTCAATCATGCCAGGACCGATATAAGTGACATTGACGTGATAAATGCCAAGTACGCGAGCATATAAGTAAGGATGTTGTTTGACAACTGGGCCCTCACTGGTTTGGAGAAGCATGATATTGCAATGTGATGTCGATGGATTGATCACGTCCTGCGCCTGATGGACATCGTACGTCATGTAGTTAAGACGCAACAAGTTATGTCTGTACATGCGATCAGCCTTTATAAAAATGCGGCCTTCTGAGTCTGAGATTGTTGCAGAAGCTCCTGGTACTGTAACAGCAGTGGAACTGTTGGTATGCGAAGAGCATTTTCCCTTGTTAAGATCTGCTTCATCTTAGCCAGGAGAAAGGATTGAAGCTTGAGTGAAAAGTCCTGTTATTCAGAATCAGCATTGTGTTGCATTCAAGTTGTCTTCATAATTGGGTTGAATTCACTTTGATTGCAGGATCGCCCAGGGGCCTTTGAAGGAATAGCGGAACATTATCGTGATAATTTTGAGATTTCCTGATGTGGAAGCGAGCATCTGGCGATGTAGCAACTTCTTCGTCGATCACCGTACCATATGGCGACTGCCTGTCATGAATGCGATTTATATGGGCCTCACGCCGTTTGATGCTGGCGATCTGTTTGACGAATTCTTTTCGGTCTGTTCGATGATACCTTGCCTTCGAGGTATGGTGTTCTAGCTCTCCCTATAATACACAAGAAATTGTTTACATGACTGACAGTGCGATCATGGTGGTTCGACTTACTGGTTCAGTGCTATACAAGTCTGTTGTGCCAAATTTGCATATCGAGGTGGAATAATCGCCAATGGCATGTAACTTGTACGTTTGAAGGTTTAAAAGTCTTTGTTCGCCGAGACGTCTGATTTGTCAGTGTCATGGTCCTTGTCTCTCCATTGTTAACAATGTGACGTAACTGCCAGTGCTGGCGATGTTCTGCTTCCCACTTTAGTTCCTGGATATTGAATGCTACACAGGTATGTTTCTGAAAATGACGAAGCTGCTTTCCGAGTGTAACAGTGGCAGTGTCGAGGAGGTCAAGGGTTTCGTCGGTGTGCATGCGCAGTTTTGCAAGAGCATGCCAGTGTGCACAAGTACAAAGCAGGGTTAAAATATTTATATTGTGCAGCTCTGGAAGGAGGGCATCAAATACGGGGATGGCGCACTGATTGTTACAGGGATCTGTAACACCTACTAGAGCCCCAGCTCTCCCTACGCCTGCCCCCGCTCTGCTAGACTCCCCGCGCGGCGGTGCGCCGCCTGCGCCTAGAAAGACAGCGGTCTGGACCGCTATGACCCCGCCCCCTGGCGCTATGACCCCGCCCTGGCACTATGACCCCACCCCTGGCCTAGACGGCCTTGTACCTGATCCATGGAGGCTGTACGCCTCATGGTCACCCTAGATCAGCGCATGTATACCACATGTCGCTTCATGAAGATCCGGAGCGCGCTTGGCGCTTCCTGTACCTATGCGCAGCTGCCCTTGGCGCAGCATGCTTGATCAGAGGTTAAGCCTCATGTATCTTATCTGAACCTCATGTCTTGCTATCATAGATTTACGATATACTATTGATTACAGACTGAGCTAGAATACTTGTAGTACTTCCCTATAAGTAGACACAGATTATTGTACTTAGACTTTACTTTAATCTACCAGGTTCATCCCCAGAACTTGCTCATCTAAGCCTACCAGCTTCCTTGTGTGAGACCGCACTTCTAAGTCGCCCCCATACGACTTAGCACGTATCCACTAGCCCTGCATCTCGACGAGCGCCGTCTTACTGAGATCGCCGGAGGAATCCTTGACGTTCCGTCAAGGCTAGACCACGCTCAGCTTCAGTAGACTCACTCGAGTCGTCGCTGAGAAGACCCATCCTAGTTCGCACACGTCGACCAACAGTCGACGTAACACTGATTAGATAGACATGGT